GAACAGAATCCAAAGGTCATACAGCGAGTCTGAGGCTAATTCAACATAGGACAGCTTGATCTCTGGTCTCCTATACTATTTAATAGTCATGGTTTATCTGTCAAGCACTGAACTTGTCAGAGTACAACAGAAAAAAACTAAAAGAAAAGACTACATCAGTAACTTCATGGAAAATCGGTTTCTTGCAGAACATTCCTGGAGCTGCCTCCAGTGTCCTGAAGCAGGCTTCCTAACTTACTCTGATGAACAGGTTTTTGCTCTACTAAATTACTGTAGGTTTTACCGGGGGTGGGAAGGACTCTTTTTACTTCCTTATCTGATTGTTCTTTCTTTCCTCAAATACATTCTGTGTTCACCGAGAAACAGTCACATTCTTTGATTTGTGACAGTCAATTCTGCCTTTTTTTTTTTTTGGCTTTGTTATTTCTTCTCTTAAACTGAACATTGTGCAAGTACCTCTTTCACTGTTGCCATGAAACAACTGAACAGTTGGCTCCAGGAAACTAATTCAACAAAGCTACGTGACATCAACTTTCTGCAAAACTTATCTCTCAAGTGTCAAAGTCTCTGGAAATTAATCTTTTTCCATGCTCCACCTTGGTGAGTTTTTTTTCTTTTCTTTCTTTGCTACCTTTAATTCAGCTGTATAATCCACTATGTACAGCCAAAGAAAACCATTTCTGGTTCTGATGATTCAGGCCGTCTCAGAATATATTTATTACTCTTCCTCTCTAAATCCTTTCTCCCCTTCCTTTATTCGTATTGCAGATCTGATGTGATGTGTGCAGAGCACCAAGCTAAGCTGGGTGGTGGATTCTGTTCTCTGCTGTATTATGCATGTAATGGTCCAGTGGTCTCAAAAGCAATGAAAATAAACAGCAAGCTACTGCAGATTTCAGGAGAAGAGCTTATGGAAACAGCAGAAAAACATGAAGTAGAGACACACAAAGTAGGTTTTCTGATCAAAGATAGGACAGGCAAAGCACAGTAATTACTAACTTCAAATTGTAACACAAGTACTTGGGTCTACTTTCTGAAATTATATTTTCTGATAGCAGTAAAGGTATTTAGGTTTTTATTGAAGTTCTCCAACCATTTCCTTTCATCACCTATTTAGGTGACCAATATGTTAACAAAATTTCAACCTCATATTTCCATGAGATTTTCCATTTCACCTTTACCACATTCTATTAATTTTGAAGGTCACAATAGCTGCTAATTCAATTGAGCTCTTTATGATATTATATTAGCTTTTGCAAGCCGTTGATATGAATTATCAGACTTCCCACAGTCACAAAAGAACTAAGAAGCTCACAATACTGCAGTGAAATATGGAATGGAAATATAAAGATACTGTTTTTATTCTACACATGCTGTTGTCCAAAAACATTAATGGTGAAAGAAAAAATATTTACGAACACGCTAAAGATATTTGAAAGATAACCTTTTCAAAGTTTTTGCATTCATCATTATTCTTCTGAGTAGTTATTTGGTAGTTGTGCTGCCATAACCCGTTTTCTACAAAGTTTTCAATTTTCTGTCAGAATAAAAAATTATAGCCTTTGAATTATAGCACAGAAAGGATAAACAGAACACAAACAAACAAACAAAAAAACACATCAACAAACCAAACATAAACCTGTTTTTACTTTTTTTTTTTTCATGGCTCAGTTTTTATTCACTGATGAAAATAGGAAAACTTTCATGCTCTTGCAAGAAAAAGAGTTTAAGTTGATCTTGGTTGGACTAAATATGGGTCTTTGTAGAACTGCACACGGATTTCTACCAAGAGGGAACTGAAGTCAGATTTTGTTTAGCAAATATCACAGAATCACAGAACAGTTGAGGTTGGCAGGGCCCTGGAGCCCATCAGGTCCAACCCCTGCTCAAGCAGGGCCACCCAAAGGGTGCCCAGGCCCAGGTCCAGGCGGCTTTTGAAGATCTCCAAGGAGGAGACCCCACAACCTCTCTAGGCAGCCTGTGCCACTATTTGGTCATCCTCATCATATGGAAATGTTCCCTGATATATTAAACAGTTTTCACAGTTACTGTCATTTATAAATAACCACAAAGCACACTAAGTATGTGCAGATAGCATATGAAAAATGTTTTTTTTTTTTTTTTTTTAAATTAGGTAAAAATATTTTTTCACTGAGCATTTAGTACATAAACTGGTACTAAGCTGGTTAGAGAACCTCACTTTAACTTCTCATTTCATCCCCATTCTCTATTAAATGGGACATGGTACACCATAGTAGCACTGACCTCACCTTCCCACCACCAGGGCCACTGCAGACACCTGGAACCACAACCACCACATACGCATCTTCTGCCGATTCGTGTGAAAGGAGCAGATTAGTAAAAACACACACTATTCTAGGTGAGTGAGCTGGGCAGCTGCTGTATGGCTAAGACTGCCTGACAGAGCAATAGTGTAGCTGATACGCAACATACATGTGCATACATCTGTTAAATTTAGATTAAACTGGTTTGGACTGGGAATTTTTCATATAAGTAGACTATGAAAATAAAGATGCAAATTTGCAACAGTGGACCTGGCAGAAGACATTGCCTTCTATCTGAGTGAAGACTGAAAAACCCTCAGACTGGGTCTCCCTTGTCTTTTGGAGGACTGCTCTACTTGTAATGCTTTACTTGTAATGCTTACAAGAAGTTGTCAAATACAGGGAGATGTTAGAAGATGTCCCTATCTTTCTTCCATGGCTCATTAAAATAGAGGTGCAGGCAGTCTCTTTCTATTCTGCTCACTCTGCACTTGGTGGGTTGGCAAGCTGCAAAAACTTGTAAAAGCTACAGAAAGAAAGGGAGAATAAACACAGACCACAAGAAAAGAGAATAAACTGCTATGAAATTGAAATATAGTGTTTTTGTATGCTCTTTATATGCAATTGCATATAACCATTTTATTACTATTTGGAGGAACAAAGCCAGAAAAGAAATAAAGACGTAATATCAATATTGCAAGGTCTGTAATGGGAAGGGAAGGCAAGGGAAGGGAAGGGAAAAGAAACAGTGTTGGTCAGATTCAATAAGGAGCATTTCTATTATTAGTCAAGACACTACTTTTAATGACATTTTGCAGTATTTCCACAGACCACTTCAGCATTTTTCTCCCTCATTTCTATTTATTTATTTATTTATTTGGGGGGAAGGGAGGGGCAGACACTGTCTGATTATATCCTCTCAAAAATTCATGAATCAAATGTTAAGAGGGAAGACACTTTTTGGAGAGAACCTTTTAAAGCTGAGAATGAAAATATCCATGTTACAAGCAAGAAACCATGGCACAGATAAATGAAGGTAATGGAGAAACTTCTACAATCCTAATGCCATGCAAAATGACTAAGCCTTACCACCACAACTCACAGAGTTAGAGTCCTACATACTTTTGGTGGACTAAGTGAAAAATAAGGTGCATAAATATAACAGTATAGTATTAATCTGCTGCTTTGGAAACTGTAACAGCTCAGCAGGATTTCAATGTACCACTAATGGAGCCAGAAGAAAGAGCAAAGAACTCTATTCTGGAAATGCAGAAATTATGATGTATTTTCAGAGGTAGCAGAAAATACAGACAAATGCAGGGATCCCTGTTGAAAGTACATTCAACAACAACAAAATCATGTTCAGTAGGCCACCTCTGCTGTGGGATATGATGATAACACCACAAGTTGAAAGAGTCTGTGGCAAATGTCGAGTATAAAATATTACTTTCTTTCCTCATATAGTTCTGAGGAAGAGTATTAGCATACTCTCTGTCCAAGATTTTATTTTATTTTTTGTAAACGCTTCCATCTGGATCAAGTGTAAGGCTGAAGAACATTTTTATTTATTTAATTTTTATTTAAAGAACATGTAGATGTTCTTTTTACAAGAACATTTTTATTTAACTCATTTAATTTTTATTTTGCTTTTCCAGATTAGTATTTCGAGTATATTTTCAGTGTTGAGCTGCCCTATCCCCCAGTCTCAGAAAACTCTCCTACCTGCTGTTAGGTGACAAAGTATTTTCTTTATCCTGTTCTCCCTCCTTTTCTTAAGTGTCTTCAGCTTCTTAGTGTATCTATAGTGACCAAATGACTTCATCACCTTATTAATGTCTCTCAAGCCTGTTTGGGTTCCTTCCCTCCAGAGTGTCAACCACACCACACAGCTTGGTGTCATTGACAAACTTGCTGAGGGCACACTCAATCCCACTGTCCATGCCACCAACAAAGACATTAAATAGTGCTGGTACCCATACATATCCATGAGGGACACCACTCATCACTGGTCTCCACCTGAACATCAAGCTATTAATCACACCTGTTTGAGTGTGACCATCCAGCTGAGTGGTCCCTCCATGAAATCCATGCCTCTCCATTTTAGAGAAAAGGATGCTTTCCTTTTTTTTTTTTTTTTTTTTTTTTAAGAGTTAAGAATAACAACTCAATAATTTAAAACTCAGAAAAGCCTGCAATGATAAATCTTTTTGTACTGTGTTGCAAAACAACAACAACAAAACAACCCCACACTAGTATATTCCCTGTTATATGAGAAAACAGATACAAACAGACAGGTATCCAACAGGGACTAGGCTTCTGCTGTTAAACTTGGAAAGAAAATTTTCAGTGCAGTACTTTGCCACATCATACATTTTTACTAAGATAAATATGGGGTTGATTTATGCTCTTTATTTTGCTGAAGTTCACCAGTTGCTGAAACAGATTGTTGATATTAATAAAAAGAAAAAGTAACTGGAGCTATGATTATTTCCATAAGATAGTATTAAGAATAATGCCATGTGTTAGAAAATGTTTTTGCAAGTCAGATGAATCTATAGTTTTCCATTGGAAACTGCAGCCAGCAGCTGGTATTTTCAGAAAGCAATCATTGTAATTCAAACAACTTTCAGGATTGTGATTATCTGGCCAAGATTTCTGGTACATCAAGAGCTTTAGCAGGAGTTCTCTGCAGTTGTCTCATAAATGTTAACATTTTTAAGCTCTTAGATCTTCAGTCGCTATCCTAAAAAATCTGCTGACAATTACCCAGTTACATCCTATTATGATTGGTAGAGACTAATAGGATGCTTGCCTTTATTTGCTTGGTTTATTTCCCATATTTGCATATTCTCCATCGTATCCAATGTGCAAGATTTTTTTATTATTTGTTTACAACGCAGTGGTTTTATTTTGTTTGTTACAGGCTTCCAGGCTCTGAGGCTAAAGAATTCATTACAGAAGAAAATCCTTGGTACAGGGCACTAGGGTTCACTTAGGAAAATTGTTTTCACTTGTGCAATTTCATGCCTAAAACCTGAATCTAACAGAGAGTTGGAAACTAACAGGGGCTTGGATTTCTCCTTGGGCAATGTCTCAACCCTTTGCTCTGCTTGATGGTGTATTCAGCATTTTGCCTAATTCCACTGAAGCACACATAGTCGCAGGCTTTAAAACATCCATCACATTCTGATCTACACATTTGTAGAACATACTTTATTGTGCTACTAGAAAATTCACATCTTTAACCACAACTTTCCCAGTAGCTAAAATAGCTAAAATATTTTTGATATATAAGGACTTGCAGATTTTATTTATATAATTAAAAAAATGTTAAAACAAACAAACAAAAACGCAATTCAAGAAGAAAAACTGATATTTTACATTATTCAAGTGAAGCTGTCTTCTTGTCCTCAAAGGGAAGTTTTCTATTTTGAGGAGCATCAAAGCAGTGACATTGTAATATTCACATTGTAAATCTTCCTCCTCCTAAAACAACAATAGTTTAAAGTTTTATATAAACACAAGCAGCAAAGTTCCATGAAGATGCATGAAAAGGCAAATGTCAGACATTCTTTTTAGAAGTTGTACACCTCAGGATCCAGAAATGAAACAGCCCCTCTGTTTTTAATTGCAACGCTCTTGAAACCAAACTGTTAAGGCAGCACAACCCTGGGCAGTTATCCTACCTCAGGAACAGAGGTGACTTCAATGGTAAAAGACCTAACTAACTACTGCTTATTTTGTGCTATAAAATCAAACCCAGTCTTCTATGTCTCTTTCTTAGAGGCTATGTAATAAAGCTCAAGGAGATTATTTAATACCTTGCCCGCTTTAGTACATGGCATTTCCCGTGGAAGAACGCAAGTGAGCCAGGCTCAGAAAATCAGACTGCCGTTGCATTGCCATCCTGCCTGGGGAGACACATAACATTTCTGCAGATGACTTGATTATCAGCAAATTAGCACGAACAGAACAAATGGCAGCAACTGAGGCATTACTGAAAGAAGGTGTTTCCAGCAAATGCCATAAATGGAGAAGGAAAGGAAGAAAAAACCCCCACATTTGTCACCTGTGCAACAATGGTTATCTTTGAATGAAAAATGACTCAAAGGAGCTGGGAGATTAGCAGCTGAATAGGTTACAGGCTTTAGAGACAATCAATTTTTATACTAATATTTTCAAGCGGAAAATGAAGGGAAGAAAGCTTCTTCCTGCAAATTCTAAACTCATCATTATTTCATTTTCTGTTATCTGTTCTCGTCTAAAATGGTGTTTGTTATCAAATTGTTTCAATTCTCATAAAGATTACTATTACAAGAAAACATTCATCCATGTTAAAGAAAGTGATTTAGATGCCTAATGCTAAAAATGTCAAAATTTCATAGGTCTGATTTACACGAGGAGAGAAAGAGTTGTCTACTTTTTTTTTTATCCACTTTTTTTTTTCTTTCTCCCAGAAATAAAGGCATAACTTCTTTAGAAGGGCCTATGCATGCAAGCCTTTATATCTAAATGCTACAGCTATCTCATTTCTAATAACCAAATGAAAAAAAAAAAAAAAGAAAAAAAAAAAAAAAAAAAGAAATCTTTGTGCAATGCCTAAAAACAATTATTTTAAATAGCTCATGACTAGATGTGAGTGGATATGAAAACAGAATGAAGAACATACTAGCAAACTGATGGCTCTTTCTAGTATTTTTATCACAATTCTTAACTGTTTTCACAGTTATCTTTCAAAGCTATTAGAGTCCAACAGACTTCAGAATGTACTTTCCTAGAACAGACTCATGAAATATATACCAATACTCCTATACCAGACCCTGTAGGAGTTCCAAAGATCCTGATTTTGGGTTAAGTGGCAATTGCAATGGTAAATAGTTTTATAGAGACTGGGACACCAGCTGTTACAATTGGTTGGTGCTGTGATGAATTATTTCACTATCTCAAAAAGCTCCTTCTTCACTTGTTACCTTCCCTCTAGATGTAACTAAGGTGTGTCTTAAGCTGTCATTTAATCACGCTTTTAATCTGTTCCTAATCAGTAATCATAGAAAACTGCTGTGATCCTTTGCAATTTCACAAAGGGCACTGGAATGGTTTGAGATGCAGGTCATTTTTAACTGATGAGCTACATAAGTGAACAAACTAGGAATGGGATGGATCCCAGTTCAGGATCTGATGTAGCAGAATGCCGGAGTCCTTAGTGTGGCCAGCAGGTCAAGGGAGGTGATCCTCCCCTTCTACTCTGCCCTGGCCAAGCCTCACCTGGACTACTGTGTCCAATTCTGGGCACCCTAGTACAAAAAAGACAGGGATCTCCTGAGAGTCCTGTGGAGGGCCACAAAGATGATATGCGACCTGGAGCATCTCCCCTATGAAGAAAGGCTGAGAGACCTGGGTCTGTTCAGCCTAGAGAAAAGACTGAAAGGGGATCTCATCAATGTTTATAAATACCTGAGGTGTGGGAGACAGAGGGATTCAGCCAACCTCTTTTCAATGGTTTGTGGGGAGAGGACAAGGGCAATGGCCACAAAATGGAGCACAAGAAGTTCCACAACAACATCAGAAAGAACTTCTTCGTGGTGAGGGTGACGGAGCACTGGGACAGGCTGCCCAGGGAGGTTGCGGAGTCTCCTCTGGAGATATTCAAGGCCCATCTGGATGCCTACCTGGGCAGCCTGCTCTAAGGAACCTGCTTTGGCAGGAGGGTTGGACCTGATGATCTCTCGAGGTCCCTTCCAACCCCCAAAATTCTGTGATTCTGTGATTAACACAAAGCTTGTGAACTATGCATATGCCTTACACTCTTACAGTTAGATGTATGTAAAGCTTACACACTCCACTGGATCTAGGACATGATTTCTAAATTGGATGAAAGTCTAATATTAAATTATCTTAAAGCTCAGTTACACTGACCCTTGCTTCTAAGATGGTAAAATTCTTCCAAACAGTTCAGAAGGGCAGAAGAAGGATTAGTACAAAATTGCTTTACCACTTGTGAGCCCAGCTGCTCTTCCCTCCTGTTTTCCTTCAATTTAAAAAAACACTTAAGCCAGTATGAACCCGATATGTAGTAACTGATAAAATAAAATGGCATTAGATTGGGGATATTATATTCTCCGTAATTTTATGAACCACGAAGGAAGAAAATGTAGGAACCACATGCCAGGTCCAGGTGACTGTGCAGCTAATATAAGACTGGATTTGTTCCCCTCTCACTAGATATTTTTCAAACCTATACAAATTCTGTGCATGATGGCACAACTGGGATTTCTCAAAAGTCCAAAGACTGTAGGAAGAAGATAAAAGGTAACAACAGAGAAAATGCTTTATCAGAACTTCAGGAAGGAAAAATCCACCTTTCCTGGTTACATTTCTTCTGTTGGCCTGAAGTTTTTTTCAGAAGAAAAAGTACAGAAATGAGGTGTGGTGAGGACACAGAGCCTAAATAACGACATTAATAGTTAGTAGAGAATAAAGAATGACTCCTTCCAAAATCTGTGAGCAAAGTGACAATACTCACAGACAAAAACTTTGTCTGCTGTTAGGAGTTCCAGGATGAGTACCACTGACTTAACACAATTACAATAATACAAAAAAACGTGGAACCCTACCTCCAAATACTGACTGAGAGCACATCAATCTGGCTCTAACTTCAAATGGATCCCTCAAGGGATGAAATATCTGAGTCATTTCCCAGCTATGGATCAGCAGTTTGTCCAAGTGAATCTCAACTTTACATTAGACTTGACCTTAAGAGACTAGCATGGATGGGGAAATTTTATACCATGTCTGAATACATGCAATTATTATTAAAACAACTATGTTTACAAATAGCTGGTTTTTATACTTGTTTACAAAAAAAAAAAAAAAAAGTTATAAATTTAATTACTAAGCTAAAAACTTACTACAAAATTAAATCAATGGAAATATGTCTAAATGTATTTATTTATTTTATATAATGGTTTAGCTCCAAATTTCATCCTGCTTCAAGCGTATTTTATTTACTCAGGTGTATACAACTCCCCAAACATAAATGATTATTCAGAATAACCTACAGAATTTTGCTTTTTATTGGAAATCCTTTTTAGTTTGACTTGTAGATTCTGCTCACACTGCCAGAACATACTGATTCTTCATTTAAAAGACACTTGTATATCAATGCCTATACTTGGCATAAACCGCATAAACTGTATCTGCTTATCCAGGCTTCTCAAATCTACATCATCGATGGGAGACTTCTAAGTTTGAAAAGCAGTTAAGAGGACAAGCACAAGGATTTAATCCTTCAATATTTGATAAGGAAGTTCCATAATATTATTATTTTTGTCTGCTTCTTTGAAAAATAATGAAAGAGCTTTCAAAAGTTTCTGCTCACAAAATCTGCAGTCTCATATCAGCAAATCAAATATTTATTCTTCTCTACTGCTATGTAAAATAGTTCCTTTAACTCTGGTTGTGTGCACATCTATGCATACAAATGTGGATATGCCTAGGATCATCAGTAACTCTCGTGGCCATGTTATTTGAAATCAAGTGAAGGTATGTCACACCTTGCTACTTTTCAGAAAAGTGAGTAGAGTCCCAGATACGCAATATTGGTCACATATGCTACATCGGACAGTATTACAGATGTCAACTCCCTGTTCTGCTTCTTTTCCTCACTCCCTTTCTTGTGGCTGCAATACTTCACAAAACTACCTGAAGCATACATGAGAGAACGTAGCCCACTGGAACTCCAGTCTGACAAGGACAACTGCTCTCCTTCTCTGTCTTCTGCTGAAGCCCCAAAGGAAACTCCCTTTTCGCTGAATCTGGAGCATGCTCATTCCTTCTATCCTGTGTTAATAAGGAAGGAAATTGTTTCACGTTGTGCTTCAGAACTGCAACGTGAAATTGATGAGAGTTTCTAATAACAGTGAAAAAGAGAAGACAAAATACACTTCTTTCTTATATCTACCTTATATATGAAAGCTTCTTTTATAATGGGCAACCACCAGGACTGACAGGCAAGTCAATTACACAAGGTTATAGGAAGAGAGCTATTTCCAGGAAGAGGTAGGTGGATGTACTTGAAAGACAAGACCATACTGTGAGTATTAACCACATACAGTGAGAAGCTCCAAGATAATATGTAGGACAGCAAAAACAGAAAACAATCTGCCTGCCAACTAGTTTGAAAATCAATGGTGGACTAAACTGTGATTGTTTGCCCTCAAGAACCAAGGGCTCTCTCTTCTCAAGAACCAGAGCCATTTGCTTTGAAAAATGTTTCTATATTGCACAAATATAAAGGCTGAATGTGCCAAGAAGTTACAGTCTGAGCCTCACTGAAAAACTGTGATGATTACTTTATGTAACAGCAGTTATATAGAAGAGACACTGATCTCTGACTTCTGTGGTCATCTCCATACTCATCCATGCATAGACTGATTTCTAAAAGCCTTTGTGTGACATCAGTTGTAAGATATGTGCCAACATATAAGTTATATAAAATATTTATTTAAAATATAAGCCAATGATCAGAAATTCAAATATTACATCAACCAATAAAAAAATTCTGCAGTTACACAAAAAAAATTTCATCAACAAAAAATCCCTTTAATCATGCAACTTAAATAATTAAATATTGGCAGCATAGGTGACTTTTTTTTTTTTGATCGCAAAACTGTCAAATACTTTACTTCATTTTAAGTACAGTATTTCCTTCATACCAATTACTTCAAAGAGGAAAATAGTTTAAATAATCTAGTTTCCTTAGGAAAAGCTGTGGAAAAAAAATCAGTGCTGAAACTATTCTGGAATTCAGTTAGCTGTATGTACATTTTTTAATGATAAACAGGTACCAACTTTCCTGCCATTTAGAGATAAAATGAAAGATACGTGTTGTCATGATACTTAGAGATGATACATGCTATGTTTTTTTTTCTTTCTTTTTTTTTTTTCTGTTTTATAGCTTGTGAGTTTTTATATTATTTCACTGTACTTTATTTCAGTGGTTTTGGAATTAAATCCACTGAATGTATTTATTTCCTCTTGCCCTGGCCACATCACATACACTACTGCACTCGTTAAAGTGGACTATTGAATTCCACAGCTCTTTGAATCCTCATTTCTAAGAAGAAACAGATGAGGTAGGGCTGAAGCAGGCGGGTGTTCAAGAAGTGGATAATTCTATAAACCTGGTGATTGAAGAGTCAGACTTATCTCAAGGAAAGCAAAACAGAAGAGACCAACAGTTGAACGAGGAGGAAGAAAGTCAAAAGGCTGCAAGATGGAAGGGCAGATACAGCTTCCTGTTAAACTTTGTTTCCCATGTGAACATCTGGGAGTTGTTCTGGCCATGAGAATCCTCTGGTCCATTGATCAGCTCATTAAACTTGCCTGGCCCAGGTTATTAGAGTGAACTCACCACTTTGTTCAGTGATAGCTGGATATTCCACCTACATCACTGGAAGTGGTAACTGGAGTACATAAAATCAGATTTTTACCCATTACATTTACAGAGAAGATACACTAAACAGATACAATATTTTAGTTTATATGTGAAATACTACTTTACAATTGCAATTTGAATTCTGATAAAATCTCTTACTACAGAGTCAAAATCATGAAGGTGACAAAAAGCTTTGTGTTGTTTGCTCCCCCACTGTATCACCATGTGATTACTTACAGATGCAAAGCAGAAAAATATTAAGTATTGTTATCAAGTTATACTTTACAAGGTTTGCGTAGTCCTGTATTCAAAGTGCAAGATTATATACATGAGTGAAAGTACTGAGTGCATTAAAGCTAATTAGATAACTCCTTTTTACATTGCTCACAAAAATAGTATTTCTGTTGAATTTTATTTTATTAAATAAACCAT